GAACTGAGGCCACCGAACCGCTGAGCTAAATCCCAGCCCTGAAAGTGCCTAGTTGAGAGCAAAATGAAAAACTAAGTTTTGCTGAGGCTTGAATTAGCTTGATTATTATGCTGGTCTGTGCAACTCAATGAGTTAACTTATCTAAACTGTGATTTTAAAAAACCATTATAAATAAAAGAACATTGCTTCACCAAAGAAACTCTGTTACACACTCTCCAGGGAACAAGAATGAGTATGTTCTCTTATAGCTCATCTTTCTCTGTAAAAATATCTGAAATTGGTGGTGCGGAGCTCTGAAGGAAGACTGGAGATTTATATAAGGGAAGTGACTCCTGAGGCCTACAATACCATTGATCCTTTAGACTGGACCAGTACCACTTCTGCGATACCCCTGGCTTGGCAGTTCTTTATTGAAGAGTAAAGAAGGTCTATCTCAGAGTTCACTGCGTATCTTTACCATTTATCATTTGTGTTCATGTAGGAATAGAAAGCTAAAATTACTTACTATTAAAATATACCATGCCATTGATCTCAGTCTTATTTTCTATTTTAGGTTTTTAACTGAAGTACAAAGAAGGCCTGCATATTCTTCACATTTATGTAAATATCCAAACAAGACAATCACTCCTTTCAAAAATCTCTGCAAATAGTAAAGAGGCTGATAGTCACAGGAAAGAAAATTTGAAAATGTTTATAGGCATTCCCCATGCAGATATTAACCTCTTGACAGCAAGAGAAATGGAATGCAACACAGTGTCCTGCTCCTGAATTTCATGGCATTTTAAAAAAAGAGATATTAGACAACATTTCAATAATAGCAAAGTGAAGACAATGATAAGCTTAGCAAATACTGGTTTTTTTAAACAATGATTACACTCCAGATATTCTATAAATTAAGAAATCTTTAAAACTAACAATAGTCACATATTCAGTCACTCAAACACGTTAAAAACACTAATTTATTCTGAATAATTTGATGCCTTAACTTCTTCAAATCATTAAATTTGATTCAGTCTTTTACACTGATTCATATATTCACTAAGTCAATAAGAAACTTTGAATTTTTTTACCAAGCTAATGTGGAATAAGTAAGCTTAGAGCAAGCCACCAGACTTTCCAAATTAATGCACACAAGATGTTTGAGGACAGAGGCAGAAGCACAGATTGATAAATATACCTGAATAGAAAAAGAAAAAAAACCTAAAATAATTATTAAAGTATTTTTAAGAAAAAAAAATTGAGCATCATAAAAGCAATGTTTTACTGACCTAGTCATCTTAAGTATGTGTTTAACTATACAGTTAGATAGACATTGTCATGGTTTAAGTATACAATAAGACAAGTTACTTGTAAAATAAACCCTATCATTATCATGTTTACATATCTATTAAATGTCAATATTTGATTTATGATAATTTAAAAATTGAAAAAATATAAAGTGAAATTCTCAACAAGTGCATATTGATCCTTTTACCTAAAAGAGATTTAAAATCAGAGAACATTACTCTTTGTATTCAATAGTAATTGTATTTAGACCAAAGTATATTTTTAAACATGATTTGGCTTTTTAATCTATAATTAAATATTGATGCTTGGAATGATGATAGTTCATCATATAAAATAATAAAACACTTTCTGCATTACAGTCTAACAAATCTAATAAAGATTGTAACTAAATTTTAATGTTTCAAGGTTTATTATTAATTAACAAAATATTGCTACTAGCTATTTATATGAAATGTGCCATCTTTTATCTCAGCACGTACTTTCTCCAAAACAACAAATATTGGAGTCTGTACTACTTTTGTTACTGCAAACCCAAGATCATCTCGCCTTCGCCTATACTAAGCTTTTATGGATGAGGTCACTGAAGCTGTGCCAAAATTCAATAATGATACTCAATCTAATGGAGCCATGCACTTATTTCATTGCTGGAACATAGACCAATTTGAGCAAAGCATTGCAGTGAAATGATGAAATACTCACCTAAAATGCCCTATGTAAACATTTCTTGCATATTAAAAATTGTAAATAAAATATTACAGTGTTACAGCTTATTTGTAAGTACAGAACAAAAGTTGGTAATTATTTAATGTCTCTCTTAATCTGGGGAAGAAGATATTTTATGTGCCTGTTGCATATTTAAAACAAACACAAAACCCTTCACATTGAAATTGGTAAAGGACCATAATTTAAATTGACAACTACAAATGAATTTCACTCTTTTTCTAAAGAGTGAAGTAGTAGCCATGCTGTGAATTGGAATCAGTTTAATATTTCCAATAAAATGAGAAAAATGAATGAAACATCATTCAATCATTTTTCAAAACTAAAGTAAATACAACAAAAATACTGAAATATTTATCTTTTTAAAAGTAATTGCTTTTCTGAATACTGCTTTTAAAAAATTTAACCCAACAGAGAAAATATAATTGGTGTTTTACATTTATGCTCCAAGGTAAATTAGCTAATACTTCTGCTAAATAGCCTTAGTTATAATTCTTCACCATAGCAAATGAAAGTGAAAATTTTAACTGTTGCAATAAAACTATAATTTAATTTGTTCTCAATGCTTATTTATTTCTAACTCAACTCAAAAATCTATTAAGTAATTAAGTGTGTAATTAAGTTTCTGCTGAACTTATCAAATAATATGTGTGTGTACTCTAAAAGTTGTGTTTGATGGACTTTACTTTGCCATGCCATATTAACTATCAAGAGCACCGAAAATTCTTAGAATTTGAAGACAAAACAATCTTAGTAAATTTTAGAGAAGCTGTTTGCAAATTTGAGACACTATGCAAAAAATTGTTTCATAATCAAAAAACAAAAAAGAATGAGAGCAAGAACTTAAAAGAAATTGAATTTTGAAATCATTTTTTAAGGCAAGAATCAGGCTAAACAAGACAAGCTGTCTGATTTTTCCTTCACCTGTTTGATAGCAGTAAATATAAAATGTTCTGCTTTTATCCAATTTTGAAATATTTACTTATATTAACTTCTTTTTTACTTAAGTAACAAAAACAACATTAAATGAAAATTCAACTGTGAACTCACAGAAAACTTATTCAGGTAAATTTCTATAAATTGCTTTTTATAATCCTATGGGTTTTAATATTGAGATAATCTGAAACACTTCTCTCAATTCAGCTAATAGTAAGGTATGTACAGTATTATAATTCAATTCACTGCAATATAAAAACACGTATGTTTAATCTATACATATATGTAAGTTAATCTGAAGAGAATCAAGATAAATGTTCTAGCCCTTACATTTTACTTTTACTTTTTAATTTGATACAACTGAGCAACACTGTACACTGTGTAAATGGAAGATAAACATAGTGACAGATACTATATGATAAATACACCCATTAAGACAGCTCTAAATTAGATTTCTTTTAAAGGATAATACCTATGTTCTCATCAATAGTTTAAAAAGAAATATAAATGCTTTTAAGTAAAAGAAAAAGTTGTGCTTTAGGCTATTATAGACTAATATATAAGGCAAGTGATAAAAAGATTTCTGATAAATAAGAGAAACTGAGATTCCACTTTTTTACTTTTACTCTGCAGTACACTTGTTTTTAATGCTTAAAAGTATTGCTAAAAACATCTGCATAAAATCTAAAGTTGTTAATGTTTGCTTGCTATAGAATTTCATTTCAAATTGTGAATTTAACTCTTAAAGAACTGGAGTATAAAATAACCCATTGGTTTATAGGACAAAATTCACCCATAGTAATAACAATTATTAACGGTCACAAAAATTAGGTGTACCTGCCTTTGATAGTGTCAGTCAAAATTTCTTTCATGAAAATTCATTTTTTATTGTAAACAATAATTAAATATAATTATCTAAAGTTATCAATCATGTTTTATACTAAATATTTCTACTAAAACATTTATTAGAATATCGAGGTGTTAAATATATTCTTAAAATTATGTAGCAAATGTTAACAATTTCAAAAACCCTAAGCACCAGTATATTTCAATATACACAAAAACTGCACTTTAAAAAAGGTTAAGTTTAGTTGTGTACATAACGAAACTTCTATAAAACTTCATTACTTACTATTTACTGAGTATTACTTACAGAGATTAAGTTTTAAGAATTCAGCTGTTATTTATCCAGAAGTGTTTTTGAAAAAGCTTTTTGCACTATATACTTCTCAATGAGGTGAGCACCCCTACTCTGGTTTGCTGAGAAAACAAAAAAAATCTGTAAATCTTCTGTATGATTGTTCTTGTTTTAACGTATTTTAGGTGGCAATAAGTAATGAACTCAATTAGAAAAGAAAAACATGAAAAAAATGTAGATACCTGTTTCATATTTACTGTATAAAGTCATTTTGACATGCCTACACAACTGGCTGTGGCAGCTTTCAGACATGATTTCTAATCGAGGGGAAAAAAATTGCTCCAGGTTCTGTAGAGAAAGCTTGCCGCTGGGAAGTTGATTTTGGCCAAAAGCCAAAATCATGTGCAAAAGGGCCTCATTATAGATTCATGGCAGCCTTCTGCACTAACAAAAAATGTGACCCAACAGGCTAAATCAGCGACTAAAATTAAAAAGTAAGAGACAAAGACGACTTACTTAATATTCCTTCCAAAGCAACATTAAACTTTTTTTTTGATAATTAAACCCTTGTTAGTCTAATGCAGTGCTCCTCTGTCCTCAAATGATTGTACAATTACTCTTTAAAACATGTCAATTTCACTTCTAAATAACACTTTCTTTCTGTGGCAGTTTACAAAGATTTCGCTGTATTATAAACCTATATCCACTCTATTCGCTTCACCAGCAGAAAAAAAAAAATCATAAAAATACAAACTACAGTATTCCTTTAAAACTTAAACAAACAAAAATTAGGCAAACAATAGTACATTTAAACTTCCATAGAAGTGAACACGCACCTCCTCGACTCGGATCCACTGTGATTAACCAGTCCCACTGCCCAACTTTCTCCCCACAAAGTAGATCTGATACACAGCCTTACCTAGATGTCTTCTGGCTTTCTGCGGATCAAAAAGTTTCCTGTCTAAGCACACAGATATTCTTTCACAAACCATGAAGGCCTTTTTATGAATTCAGCACTGTAACAGGCTGCTTTCCACACCACGTTGAAAGCCCAATGCGTCAGCTCTCAAGATAAAATACACTGCTAATACACAATTAGTGGGAGAGGTTGTCTACTGAAGAATTTATCTTATAACGAAAGAAGGAAAAAAGCTTTTTTTTTTTTTTTTTTTTTTTTTTTTTT